ATAGATCCAGAATGCCCTAACTCTACAGGGAAAAAAAAAAAAAAAAAAAAATAGAAGCCAAGGGGAGATAGAAGTTAGCAGCAGTTTGTAAGCCTAACACAGTAGGTATTAAGTCTCAAGTAAGTTGGCAAATTAGTTCGCAAAAATGGAAATTGCAAAGATATCAATTAAGCCATTATGTGGAAAAAGTGATTGGCCTATTTGGAAATGCCAAATTAAGTTCACATTAAGTTGTCATACAAGACACTTAGTCGTGGAAGGAAAACTGAAAAACCCAGTGGAGCCTGATCAAGCTGCCGCTGAAGAGATTCAAAAGATACAAGAAAAGACGTGTAAGGTTTTTAATAAAGCCAATAATTTTGCTATGTTAGTTTTTACGAATTCCATGATTGGGGGTACTTTACAAAAGGTAATGTGATTTGACAGTGTAAGAAAAATTTGGCTCAATCTTCACAAAATATTCGAAGATTCGTCCGATAACCAACATATGTTTACAGTTCTTCAAATTCATTCGGTCAAATGACAATACAGCAGCTCATTTTCCAAACTGAAAAATTTATGGAACAGACTGAACAGTGGACTTGAAAATAAAGAAGAACACAAACTCCCACAGAGGCTGTGAAAATATTGGATACTCTTCCTCCCAGTTATGGTACTTTCAAATTGAGTTGGTTACTTCTTGGTGATAAAAAGAGAACTCTAGATGGATTAACTACACAGTTGCACACCCATGAAAGAGAATTAAAGAAAGATTCAAGCAGAAACTTTAAATCAGGAAGCATTCATAGCAAATTTGAAATTTATGCAGAAATCAGCAAGTGTAACTATTGCCTACAGAAAGGACTCTAAGTCAGAACCTACAAGAAGTGGATAGCTGATAGGAAACAACAAAACCTAGTCTACATACAGAGCCAAACAAAGGAGGTAAGAATAATGTTGCTGCAAATATGACACTCCTAGCTGTGTATGAAGGAATATTTTCTGCTGAAACCAATTCTGATCAGTGGTTTATTGACAGTGGGGCTTCAAAACAGGTCGTCAATAATAGTCACTACTTTATGAACTTTGAAAAGAGCTTCCCCATAGCATCACTGCAGCACTGGAGACTTATCTGCCTAAGTGAAAGGATGCCTTTGTGGAAGACGTTCTAGGGGAAAGTGGCTCGTATACACAATTGAGGAATATGACAAGTTCTCGTCAGAGCCACAACAGTGCCTTTTTTTTTTTTTGGTATCACTGTATAATTTCATATAATAATCTTGTAATGCAATAAATCATCTGGAACTATAATAAAAGTAAGTACATATAACTTCTTTATATTTAGTTATTTAAAGTACTAATTTTGTATTGGTTTTTGTGTTAAGTATGGTATTGTTATTGGTTTCTTTGGTTTTGGTCATGGACCACACATATCTTACATTCTATAAACTTCACAACTTTTACAATAGATGACTGGACAGCTTATAATCAGAAGTAACAGACTAAAACACAGTAGTCTCATCAAGAAACTAAGAACTTTAAAAAACATTTGATGCCTAAAGAATGTTTATATGACAGCCTCATTATAATACTGATAGTGACTAAACACAATCCAACAATTAAGTACAAACAATTAAGTAAAGTTGGAAGAAAGATAAGTTTAATCCAGCGGTTCTCAACTTTTTGACTAACGCATACCATCTAAACAAAAATTGAAAAACTTTAGTACCACCATTACATTTTACAATGACTAATTTTCAATTTCTCAATAGTAATATTAAATATATATATATATTTTGCCATTAGCACAACCTATTGACTATTTGTATTAAATATGCACACATTAAAAATATTAGATTAAAAATTGGTTAACATTTAAATTATCAAAATTTAAATTATAGAATTTTAATTCTAAAATTTAGTGTGAAATTTGGGCCTGTTTAAGAGGATCAGTTTCTTTATGTCTGGTCTTATTTCATTTAGTTTTAACAATAAATTACCACTTTCAATTTTATTTTGTATTTATTCTTCAAACATAACATGGAAGAAAATCCACGTTCACACAAATAGGTTGTGCAAAAAGGCAATAAATATTTTATATCTTTGAAATGCCTTTAAATATGAGCAGCTATTGACCTTGAACAAAGTTCAGATTGCATAAATTTACACGTTTGAGAAAAAAAACTTAAACAGGATGTTGAGGTATTTAATTTTTGATATTAATACTAAAAAAATACTTTGTTTTCGCTGGTTTAATCAACAGGATAATTATCATAATATAACATAAAGATAAGAGTGCATGCTAAGCTAATCACAAAACCCAGAAAAAGCAATGCCAATAATTGGTACTGTAAAGCGATTGTAAACAAATCTAATATTTTAACTGTTTTTTTTTAAACTTTTATCTTAACTGTTTTCTTAAAGTTTTATCTTAACTATTTTTTCAAAGTGGCATTTTCTTAAAATTAATTTTTTTATTTTTCTAAACAGAAAAGGATTATCAAGCAAATCAGCTTTAATACTTTAAAACATTTAATTATTGCTTGTGATAGGAGTAAAAAATCTTTTCATCTCAAGAAAGTATGCATTGCTTTTTTAAACATTTATTTAACAGAACTGATGTTCTTTAACTCTCTCAGTGGCCAAACCACATACTATATACATGTTAAAAAATATTAGTTTTGATATTTTTAAGTACAAAGACATGGATCATGAAATAAATATTATAGATATTAATTAGAAAATTAAATTGCATATATATTAAAAAAATCGAAGCAGAAACTGTTCATTTCAGAATTATAATCTAGAAAATATCTATCATTCGTGAGCTTTTTGGGAAATTTAAGAGTTTAGGATCAAACCCTTGGCTATTTATAAGGTTAAGGATAACAACAAATGACTGAATAAACATAATTTTAAAGAAAATGGAATTATTTCTTAAAAGTTAACCCTTAATGCTAGAAAAGGTGTGCTGCAGAGACATGTATTACTACTAGAGAAATCAGAAGGCTCCATTATGGGAACATTTACTTAATATCCACCTTTCTCAGTGTTCGAAGTAAAAGGCTAAGCAGGCATGTGTAGCACATAATTCTTGGAAAACCACGACATGCAATAAACACAACTTAGGGATCCACAACTCAAGGCTAACGCTTATAATGAATTGTTAATGTGCACTGGAGGAAATAATCTAAATAGTGATTTTTAGGTACTTAGTGCAACTAACCTGGTGCAATCTGGTGATTTTTTACAGATGAAAAAGTAAAAGTTACTTAAGAAGTGAAAAATTGGTGATTTTCAGGACATTTTTAAAAAAAGATTTCCAAACTATCATTATTTGTCATAAGTTGGCAAACATTATCAATACCTGAAAAGGAAATGCAATTTAAACTTAAAATTTCAGTTGTTAAATAAGGATTATGTGATACATTAAAAAATAAAACTTGCATTCGTCTCCAAATTTTCTGGTTTTGGCGGGACTATTCCCAAGTACACAGAGATCTGTTTCCACTTAGAAAAACAATAATCAGAGAATTATAGAGACTCTGCATTGCATAAACCTCAATACGACTGGTTTTCTACCCAACACATCTCTTCATTATTCCATTTAGAGATTTTAATGCAAAATTCTGTATTCCCGCAGAAAATTTACTGCAGTTTCTTCCATTGCTGGAAAATTCTGTAAGACCATATTTTAAAATTAACTTTAAGGCAAGAAGCATTATGATTTGCTAATAAATACTGCTGGAACATGGAACATAACAAAAAGAATGCAATCAAAAATGGCAGTGTTGCTTGACAGGACTAATATGAGTACAGTTGCCTGAAGAATGCTTATGTGCATGGTTGCCAGTTTAACACATTCTGAAAATTTGGAAACTTCTACTAAGGGGACGATAATATGGAAGAATGCACAATTTTAAAATTAATAATATATGCTGAAACTGAAAAGAAGTGAAAAAATATTTAGTAAACTGCATGTAAATGTAATAATAACTGTAACTACTTTTAATATATATATTTGTAATTACTTTATATGTATACATATTTGTTGCGGCAAAGCCAGCAAACTATTAAAATTAACATTACCCTTTTTGTGAATGGCATCACTTACGTTTTTGTATTCATAAATGTCTTTTTGCTTGTTCTATACTTGAGGTTTATGTTAGGAAATAAATAAGTATAAATTACTATCTCTTAATATCTTTAAGCAAAAGTTACTATCAGCATTTTATGGGGGACGTGACGAAGATAATTACGCTTTCTGTGCGATTCTTCCATCAATTTTTGTTTTATGAGATACTCTAGTTTTTTCTTATCAGATTAGATATAGAAAACCAAACTTTCTATCCTTTGAAATTCATTTATAACAGGGCTCAACCATATATGATTTGCAATACATAATGAACCTTTTAGTGACAGTATAGCTACTAATAAAAATCCAATTATAAAAATGATAAGAGATGAATAAAGTAACCAAAGATAATAAAACCAATAATAAGAGATCTATTGTTACAATGTTGCTTCATGAAATACACGTAGCAAATAAAACTAGCATGTTTATTCTGAAGAAAATTACTAAAATCATAAAATAATTAGAAATTGAATGGAAGGATCTAATAAACCTAAAAGAAATGGATCTATTCATATGTTATTTCATACTGTGAGATAGGAACTTTCTAACTTTTAAAAACAATAATTGACTGGAAGGAGGAAGCTGAAATATCCCGTATTGTGAACTAAAAAAATACCATAAAACAATAAAGATCATACATCAGATTAATCAACTCCCTGTTTTTTGAATGAATGATGCACCTCGTGTCTTTGTTTTTTAAAGAGTTAAAGGATACAAATTGACGTTTTTTAACCTTGAGTGTTCCTTGAGTTATATTTTTCTAAGAAAATGTTTACACAAGATATTTGGTGCAACATAATGCATAAAGTATTATACAATTCAACTTCAGTTCAGTAACTTTAAAATATCAGCAAATTATAAAAGTGATATAAAGATTTTAATTTACCTAGAGGTTGTAGCACAAGGAATTTAAGAATATCCGATAATGAAAGCATGCCAATGACTGTATGCTTCCCATCAACCACAACTAAACGATGAACCTAAAACATTCAATGAAAATTATGATATTAATATAAAAAGCTTTTTATTCCCTCATGTTAATATTAGGTAATATAATATGTTAAGCTTCCCTTCAATTTTATAACTCAGCATTAGGCTAAATTTTTATTTAGCCCGCAGTTAAGAATAAAAATTTCATGCAAAATTTTTAAGGTAACATTAAGAAAATTATTATCAGATATTTATGAGTATTATAACACTTATTTATGAGTGACATGCATTATTTTTTATCAATTTACATACTGAATTACTGATTCTGGCACACTGCTACTTTTTGGCGGTCAGTTAAATTATGGAGAACCTAATGGTAAAGTAGTTTCTTCATATGCAATTCTCATGAATAATTTTATGTATGGCAGCAGATCTAATGTTAAATTCCTTCTATATCATTTAGTATGTGCAGCGATTATCATCGATTAACATTTCCTGTATGGCACACACATTCTGTATACAGTTCATCACACAAAATATTAAATTCCATCAGAGAAAATGCATCATATTAGATCAACTTATTTAAAGGTGGAAACTGATAATCATCTTCCTTGCATGTTAATGTTTAATCATCTTCCTTGCATGATAATGTTTAATCATTTTCCTTGCATGTCAATTTATTGGACTAAGAAACTGAATCCTAGAAAAAAAATCAAAAGAATCCTTCACTGAAAGAGATCATTGCTGCGATGAACAGGATAAATGAAAAGTGTTGTGCTTAATAGAATTTTTATGGAAACAAGAGTGAATCACATTAGTCACTTATTGTAAAAAACTCAAAATAATGCAACAGATTAAAAACACAGTTCTCAAATGTGAACAGACGTTCACAAAATAATGATAAACAATACATCTTACAAATCAATATATCAAAACTGTCACAGCTGTTTCTCCTTAATCACATTATCAGCCCATTCAAAATTCTCTACACCAGACCACAAACTTCTCAAAAACAGATGCAATAATTTTCGCTTTCAAATGATATGTTTCAGAACATGACACAATACTTCAAAGAGTCTCCTCCATTAGTAAAACATTCAGAAACATGCAAGAAAAGAACAAGAAACTGGTTGGCTGATTAGAACAAAGCATACAAGGACTGTTTATATTACAAAGAATGCCTTCATGAAAAACTTTCTAATGAGTCACAATACACACGCAAACACCTTAAACCCCCCTTGCAGCTGGCTTGTTCACTAAACACTGTATCTGAAACAAACTATTGTTGTTCATCAGTCTTCCCACTAGGCAATGGTGAGTATTGAAAGACAAGTGGATGTTATGCTATAACAAAAACTGATTATATGAACAACAAAAGAGAGAGATTATTTTACCTTAAAAGAAAAACACTGCTTTCTCATATGGTATCAGACCAGGAGTTTAAACTTTGATTAGCTTTTACTTTCAATAGAATTCCTGTATAAGCTAAATAAAATTGAACTCATGTAAAAGTAACTTATAAGTTCTAGATAAAAATGCATATTTCACATTGCAGTATTACTCTTACAAAAAAAATTTTTAAATGTTTTTATGTAACTGGTGAACTGAGGAAGTCTGATAATGTCTCTTAGTGTCTTTAAATGCATACACACCACACAAACATTTAAAATATTTCCGCTTCTAGACAAAATGAACAAAAATAGAACATAATCTACCATATTAAGGAGTCAAAATGTATTAACACATTACACAATAAGTTGAAATAAAAGCATTAAAAATAATTCAATTATGTTTATTTCATTTAGGTAAAGTTTTAAGTATTCCATAAAAATTCATTTTAATATAAGAAATGATGCCTCTATATTTAACTGTCTTTCAGACTTTCAAAGGGGAAAAATTGTGAAATGAATATAAAGTAGCAGATAAAATACCAATAATTAGTTTTAAAACATTAAAACATACTACCTTAAGAACAAAAAATCTTTCTATCACAGCTCCTAGTGTTTCATCAAGCGTGCAAACATATCCATCTTCATGCACCTAAAGTAACAATTAATGCTATGCTCAAATTTAATATATATATATATGGAACAAACTTAGATATAATAATGCAGAAATGTTGATTGTGTAGACACTGCCATACTGATTCATAATGAAGAGCCAACTTGGCAGCTGAGGCAGATTAAATATTAATTTTTATTTCCATTGACATTTGTGGCTATAATTAGCAGTAAGCAGTGCTATAAGTGCAGTAAGCAAAATGCATAGTAATCTTTATAACAGCTTATTTACAAAAAAGGTTTTCGTTTAGGAAACTTTTAAGTTCCAAATTAGCTATCATCAACATTACATAAAAGTCATATGATGGATTAATCTAGAAATGATACAGTCTAGAAAAAGTTATTACTATTTTTAGAATAGAGAGAGGAAGTACCTAAATTAAAATAAGGAATTAAGGAGCTATTTATAAGATATTTTGATTTAGATATTTTTCTACATGGAGGTAGGAAGTAAGATGGAGTAGCCCTAAACAGGTTTCTCCCGTACTCTGCTCTGAAGCACTGGCGATCCCTACGTGGTGACCAAAACATTGGGGTTTTGACACGATCGGATCTAAATATTTCGTAATTACGTGGTAAATATACATATAAATGTATATATTTTCTTTTTCTACAACACTTCAGAGTCCTAAGTATATGAAAAGAACATATTTTTAAACAACACTTCATTCTGAACGGAATTAAATGCTATACTTTTTGCAGAACAGCCTCAGAATGGTTTAATTTGAATGAAATATTTTCACAAGTTTTCGTTAATTACATTAGAAAAATAATTTAAGGTAATTCGATTTTATTTAGTTAAGGTACAAAAATTAAGATCAAAGTTTATTGTATTATTAATATTAAAATTATGCATTATTTCTTTGCTATTTATAGAGCTTCTTCCTAAAATACTTTCTTAAATAACGACATGATTTTTTGGCTTCTGAGGCATCTTTTAAATCGAAAAATATAAGTCAATTTATAATTAATGCTCTATTCGGTTCATTTCAAATTAGAGAATTATTAGAAATTAGCGAAATACTTTAAATAGTACTTAAATGTTCAGAGAAGAACATTTCTGAAAGGGAATAAAATAAGGATTTTTTTAAGTATTATTTAAAATTTGTAACTGAGTTATTATAAAATGTAATGGGAATAATTCTTTTAATTATACTTATCAGATTTTTTTTATCATTAATTTCAACAATACATATTCCAAAACTCTTTATTACTTTCTTAAGTGTGCATCTCATAGCATTTGCTTTACAATGCCTTTTAACAGATTGCTTTCCAGTACGAACAATTCTTGCTTAAATAGTTTTATAAGGTATTTGTCAACAGAATTTCTATTTATGTTTACAATTCAATATTAAGGTTATTATATATTTAAATAACATTTATAATCATTATAAATTAGATACATTTAATAATTATATTTCTTCACAGTTATTTATAAATGAAAAAATTCTTCATTTCAAATACATTTATAAATAATTAATGATATATTTACGTATTTTGTTAAAGGCAGATACATGCTTTTTTCCAAGCACATGCATAATACCCATACATATTTCATATTTTTCATTTCCGGCATGTGCAAATCTTTAATTTCTGTGCATTCACTATATTTTATTTTTAATTAACCCAAATAAGTAAAACGTGTAAGCCCAAAGGGATTATTTTTCAGAAATATAAAATTAAAATGATGAGTTTAAAATGAGCAACAGTAAAGCCTCTCCTCTAAAAATATTAAAAGGTACATGTTACAATAATATATGCATGTGAAAAAAAATTTATTTTGTTAAAACGTCTTGGCGTTTGGAACAAAAAATAAAAGCAGCGAATACTCTATCAAGGGTATCGAAAGACGTACACTATTTTAAAGGTACCGTAAGGTATTTTTCATTCTTTAAGCATAGCATTTTCGTTAAAATTTATATTTTTGTAGTTCAACAGCTTAGAATTTTATAAAACAAATTCATAATCAAAATCGCTGTTGTTAGTTATCGAAAAATAACCAAGATGCGATTTTTGCGTAAATGTCACTAAACTATACTGAATGTTTCTTTCATGCGAAAGTGTCCCCTTTTTCGATTTGTATGGAACTGTCGTGTGTCGAAATACTATCAGAACACTGTCAAGCGAGCTTCTGAATGTAAACACAAAGAACACCCCATCTGGTGACCGAAGCTTCGAAGCAGTGCTTCACTTCTAGTGCTGGTTGGCCACTCCTTCCTTTCTTACCTCCATGTTTTTTTACCTTAGATATACCATATATAAAGCATATGAGGAAAAAAAATCAATTTTTTTAATCATCAGAAATAAGCATACAATAAATCACACAGAATATAAAAAATAACCAACAAAATTTCAGGAAAGATTTCAAAAACTCAAATTAAAAAAATTTCAAATAATATCTGTAACATGCTTCTCATAGGATGAAAATTTCCTGTTCTTGAGATGTTATCGGGGATACTTTGTTACTAATGTTAAAACTAAATGGTGACAGCAATTACTCATGTATGCAAAAACAGCAAAAGCCTATTTATCCTGACTTCAGGAAAAGTGTCACATACAAGAGCTCAAATAATATCTTTACCAGGTAAGTGTAGAAGGGCACTCATAACTTTCTGGTAAAGCAATATTATAGAAATCAAACAATCTTTGGAATCAACTGTGGCCAGGATCAATCTTTGAATGATCCTGGCCACAATATTGAAAATATTATGTTAGTGTCACTAATTTCAAAACAGGGTAATTACCCTGAAATTAATATTCAAATTACTTAGCGTGTCAAAAAAAATTCGAAATTCGAAAATTTTTAAAAAGTCTAACTTGGCCTGCATATCCTCTCCCCCCCCAAAGAAGATATACTCTTTAAATATTCACTTATTAAAAGAAATACCAATCAAATGTGATACTGTGTTCCATAAAATTAAATACCAAATGGTTAAATGAAATATATTACTAATGGTTAACAAAATTAAATATATTATTATATGCTAAAATATCAAACAAATACAAAAGAATTCTGAATTATAAAATTAAAAATTATATGCATAAAATTACATTCATTTATTACATTACATTCTCTTTGCAATAACCTGCTAATCTACCTGCCGGAATTGGTGCCTAATTTTGCTTTTCCCTTCTCCCTTAAACTGAAAAGGCTTCATACGAAGATAAAAGAAGATTAAAGTATCTTCATTTCATAACAAAGACGTGAAAAAAAGAAAAAGATGAAATAGAACACCGTTTTAAGTTCCACTTGATAAATACATATAGGCTGCCCACCAAAACTCTCAGCCTTAGAATGAAATATTGCCATGAAAAGCATGGTGGAGATCTGTTAATAAAAGTGACGACTATGTTTTGGCGATGTTATGTGACATTTGTTATGTGCATGGCTAAATGAGACTTCTGTTCTGTAAAATTGGAAGACTTTTAAATTTGATGGAATTAAAAATTATAGGTTATTAAATTAATTCATGAAATCAGGATTTTTAATTATATTTATTTTCATATTTAAAAATAGTGTTACCCTTTAAGAAATAAATAACAAAATGCAGTACTGCAACATTACCAAATATTATTCATGAGCTGAAAATACTGACTTCATCAATTATGGAACTATGAATTGTATACTGCAACTATGGACTGTATACTGCAACATTACCAAATACTGTTCATATGCTGAAAATACTGACTTCAACAATTATGGAAAGACAAAAAAACTACTGCTTACTGTTCTGAGGCTTAAATTGCCTAACCACAAGCACACTTATGATCAAAGTACAAGCCATGTATCTGTTTTCCCAAGTTGCTCTGCATTTCACAAAAATTTCATACAGCTACTATAAAATATATATAGAATCCTATGAAATGCATACAACTTTTCTATAAAATTAATTGCCTAAGATACTACCAGTTTTCGATTAAATTTTGTCTAATTTTATTAAAGTTTAATTAATAGAGACTTCAAAATTCTTTAAAAATAATATTTTACTCCTTATTTGATGGTTGCATAATGCAGTTTAAGAAATTTGAAAACTTCAGATATTCCAGTTAAACACAGCAAAACTGCCCCAAAAGAATTACTTACACTTGCTTTATCAAGTGCTTCTGATATATTCATATCAAGATTATGGTACGTCTGTTCTTTTGCCAAAGCCTGGAATAGAACAACATATTTTAATTTCTCATAGGAAATAACGTTTATCTAAAAGGAAATTTAGATATTTAAGTTCTATAAGAAAATAAACAGAAAATTTTAATAATATTATGCTTACAAAAACATCAAATTTGGCAAAAATATCGACTAATAAACCATCATCATCCACTACAGGTAAAGCAGATACATTTCTTTCCACAAAGAGATCTAAAGCTTCAATAACATTGGACCTCAGTGTTATCTATAATGTAAGAAAATAAAAAATTAGAAATCTCAAAATACTTGAAGTGCTTTCTTCACTGTTTAAACTTAGATCTATTTAGAATTAAATCTATTTAAAAGATAGATTTGAATCCTAAAATACTTGAAGTGTATTTCTGAAGAATTATACAGTTTAATAAGAAATGAAACTGTTGAACACATGCATCCCCCAGTATACTACAGTTTAATAATATTATAAAGTTTAATAAGAATGAACGCGACACATGCACCCCCCCCCAAACACACACAACGCACAAAAAAAAAAAAAAAAAAAGAAAAAAAGAAGAAAGAGGCTTAGATATTCGCTAATGATCTTATTTCCTCTTTTTTGTAGCTGATTTATTAACATAGAAACTTGTATCCAACTGTTTTTGACAACAGCAGTTATCTGTGGCAAAGAAATTTAGTTTCATTTCAGCGTTAAACCTGCTACAGCAGAGGTTTCCAACCCTATGACCCGGGCACCATGGCAACCGCTGATCGTTTAACATGTGCTTGACACTGCTTGATCACAATAAAAATGTTTTAGTTTTCAATAAAATTCTATGTGAAAGTTTTCTTATTTTTAATGAAATAGAAAATGTGTCGAACACAGATATCAGGACAAAATGAAAGGTGGCCAATCTCTCTTTTTTTTTAAATGCATGTATTATTAACATTAACTCTATCCAACTATAAATACACTTTGAAAATGTAAATGGTGCAATCCATCCAAAGATATTCTAAAATGTGCTCTTTGAAACAAAAAGGTTGGGAACCCCTGTATTCATTATTCACGAGCACTGCATGATTAATGAATACTATCATTATATTGTAAAAGCCCAACTATTCGGCATTCAACTATCTGGAATGCTCCAGTAACTAGAATATTTTTTATTTTTAGAAAATTTTCCGAAGCTTTTGGATAACCAGCTCTTGGCAAAATTTCCGATTAGTTAAGCCACCAAATAGTGTGATTTAATGCCAATAATGGATAAACGTGTTGTCATGACACAATCAAAAGGAGTTTGTTTTGGTTTAACGTAAATTTGATGAACTATTCTATCAACTATCAGGATTTTTTTCGTAACAATTGGATCAGATATTTTACTTTCATGTTTAAAGCCTATAAAATACTAGAAAGCCTGGCGGTCATACGAAATGAATGCTGTTCTAGATATTATAAATTGTAATTAAAATGATTTGTGCAAAGGTGTCTGCTAATTTAAACTGAATTACCCAGGGCAGGCAGAAAGGATGCCCCTTACTTACTCCCCACGGGTTTCCCCCTTCTACTTTGCTTAATTGCTTAAGTAGAGTGCAATGAAGGACCACTGACAGTACTTTCGAAGAGTCCTCTAGCTCAGTCATAAGTATTTAAATGATGAATGTTTTTCCATGTCCCAGTCTCTTTGTACACAATTTTCTTGTGTAGATCTTGCATCATTTTTAAGCTCGCCTTGCAGAGGACCATCCATTATTTTTAATTTTTACGTCTTTCTTTACGACTCTTAACGGCATATTAAGTTGACCGTGTCCAAATGCAGGCTCGGGTAAAAAAATGCAACACGCTAAGCGTTGGCCTGAACTTATGGATGGTCATAGCAAGGAAAGTTTTACAGAAACTGTCTACGTCTCATTGAAAAAACCTGTGCATGGCAACTTCACCCATTGGCTATACAGTTATGCAAGCAATCAATAAACTATTGGCGTAACAGCCTTAAGCCGCATATAATATATTATGCGTGGAGTAATCATCTCCTCTGAAACAGCTGGCTCCCGGCTAGCGAAGCACACCGTTGGATTCCGCAGGTCCATGGCACGTCATTTGACCTTGCATCTTTTTGGACTTAATTACCTGATATTATTAAAAACTAATTTTCCCTAACGCTTCCACTTTCTTTTTGGGTTCCCTATTACAAGGATTTGGCTACGTGCAAATTCTTTTTTTCCGAAACTACGGAACTGCGCCGAGTTAAATTCGAGATGCATATCCCATTTTAAAAAAAATTCTCCGAATCCTCATTCTGTTCTCATCTGTAAGACTTTAACGAACTGACGTTAATAAAAACTGCAGAACGTTAATTTCGCGCTCATTTTTCCGAGTGGCAACAATAACTATCAGCACACAAACTTTACCGCTTTATACATAAATATGTCAGTTTAATATTTTAAAAGCAGACTCCCCCCCCCACCAAAAAATCTTTTATAATTTTCAATGCACACTTTTAAAGTTGGTAACATACAAGATGATTATTTTTATAATTTTAAAGCTGAAAATCTCTCTATGTATTTGGCTTTGTGCATATGAATTCTTTCTTTTGTATGCTCAACTAATTATGCAGAACTTCCACATATTCAGAATTTGGCATCTGAATTTTTACTACACATTAGTCATGAGTTACATATAAAGCAATGATCAATAATAGTTTTTAACTGCTGTAAGGATTCATTTTCTCTTAAAAGAGTAATGTTTATACTAAAAGGTATTATGAAACCTCATGAGTACTGAAGCAATAGATCCTAAAAGTCAGGCCTAAAAATAAGATATGTTGATATACTCTTTTTGCATTACAACAATGCAAGGCCGCATTGCACAAACTAATTTTAACAAATAGAGATCTTACTTATTAATCATCTGCCACAGATAATAGAAATGCATGTAGTATATGTAGCTAAGTTAGAATTTTGAGAAATTTTTATGAACATTTCATTTCTTTCAAATTTAATGCATTCACAAATGTTAAGTATGTAATTTTAATCACTACAAATTCTAACTATAACTTCAGTATGACAACTTTCCCTTTTTACACTTTTTCTGGAAGCATGTAGCTGCTGCTGTGTGTTTGCAGATGGAGTAAGCATGACGTCAAAACTTAACATGGCTGCCATACAGCGTACAAATAAATCTATAAAACATATTGTTAAATAAAATTACACTGATTTTTAGAGCAAATATCAGTGTGTGCAAGGCTCAGAAATGTGTCTTTAAGTTTAACTTGAATAAAATGCCATTAAAACTCTTTTACGGGTCTCTTAGTTTTTAACATGTGTACATTTTTCTTACAATTACTGTTTGCACATTTTCATGTATCTAGATTTGATTAAATTTGAAAGTTATTTACAATCCTTGTGATTTTTTCCTAAACTAATGGAAAATAAAATATATTAAGTATTAAAATTAAAACAAGTGATGTATATATGTTCAATGATGGATAGCTAACATACAGACAACACCAATTCGAATGTAAACAAAAGCAGCAGAAGTTCGCCTATGGCAGCAGCCATAATAACTGTGACATCATACCGTGATGTATCATGGCTTCATTATCTTTCAACGAACACACTGAGAGGTCTTGCTCCATTTATTCTAACTTCTTGCAAAACTCCAATATAAAAGAAGCATGTTACCACTCGGCAACACAATATACTTCTCTTTCAAATTTAATCACATTATGGAAGAATGGCAGCACTTGTAGTAAACAAATTTAGAACACACAGTCTTCCATCCAAGCATATGTTATATTTCAGAGCCTGAATTTTGAAGTCTGAGTTTATTTTTTTATTTATTTCATGTTTTGTTCAAATTAATGGAACTTTTGTTTAAAAACTCAGTAAACTAAAAGCTTTGTGCTTTTACTTATTGCCCCTTGACAAATGTTAAATGTATCAAAGTGTACCAGAAAACTTCAAAATAAAAGAAGCATGTTACTACTTAGCAAAACACAATATATTTATCTTTGTATTAAATCAACAAATTCAGCGATTTAAAAGATATATGCTGTCATTGGCCAAATTAAAACGTTTTTTCCCTTCCATTTAGCAAATTTATTTTGTTATTAATTATTAAATCAAGCAATTTAAAAGCAATAAACACAAATTCATATTAATTATTAACTGGACCTGTGAAATTAGACTAGCTCGATTTCTTAAAATCATTATATATATTTTACTCTTTTATAATAACTGTTTTTAATTTCTTTTTATTATTTTAGGAGCTGACCACTTAAAATAAGAAAGTAAAAGACAGAAATCCAGAAGATAAAAAATAATGTATTCACTAATCCATTAAATTATAATAATTTTTATCAGAAAACCACATTAGAAGTCTTTAAAGAAAAATCTGAAATGAATATTGAGGAAAAATCTGGAGTTTAAATCCCAACATATTTTCTTCAAAAATAATGAAAGGGACAATTTTGAAAAATTAAAGAAAGATCATTGTTCTGTAAAGTTCTCATCGTTATTAAATAAAGCTTTGTTCTCTTAAATAAATTGCATTAAATTAAACAATTTAAATGCATAATGAAAACTGTGGTAATGACTATTAGAAAGGAAAACGTGTTGTAGGCAAATTTTTTTAAAGGGGAAAGTTGAAATTACAGCTTATAACAGGATTTCCCTAACATTACAGTAAATATCAGCAAATAAAACTACTTGTCTACTTACGTAAAGAAAACTATAAGGTCATTAAAGCATAACAACAGGACAAGAAATTAGTGAAAAAATGTGAAATCAAGATTAGTCACCATAATTTATATAAAAATGATCATATTTGTGAGAACTGCAATGATGTTTTATCACCATTAGACTCATTAGAAAGGCCTAAGAATCACGGACTTCAGTTAATAGTTAAAATCAACTTTATTTAACATTTTAAAAAGGAAATTGCATCTCTCAAGAGGCTAAATACTTAAACATTAACACACACGAGCTGATGTCAGACACTGATCATGAACAGGCAAAAATAAAATAAAAAAAAAAAAAAAAAGTGAGAAGAAAGTCACAAATATGGTCATTTTTATATAAATTATGGTGACTAATCTTGATTTGATATTTTTTCACTAGATTCTTGTCCTGTTGTTATGTTTTAATGACCTTATAGTTTTCATTAAGTAAGTAGACAAGTAGTTTTATTTGCTGATATTTACTGTAATGTTAGGGAAATTCAACTACAGGAATGCTTCCTGTAGTTGAATAGTGCTTAGCATCAGAGTGCCC